AAACCTTAGAGGCGATTTTTCCAAGACTCTTTCTTCCCCAAATCGTTGGTAAGTGATTCTAACTTATTTCCTTTCAATCTTTCACTACATTTCACAAGTTTTCAACCTAAAATCTAGAGTTGGTGTAATTGGGGGGTTTTGGGTAGAAATTAGGGATTTAGACCTCAAATTGAGGTCGGATTCCAAAAGAAAATCACATAACCGGGCTCGGGGGTGAATGCGTAATCGTAGTTTGGTCCGAATTTCGGGTTTGGACCAAGCGGGCCCGGGTGTGACTTTTGTTGACTTTTTCAATAATGGCCTAAATTGAATTCTTTACAATCGTGGGTAGTTCCTAAGGCTTAATTTGAATCGTTTGGTTGGTAAATTGCTAGATTCTATTAGTTTGAAAGCTTGTTTGAAAGGAAAAGCCGTGGTTGAGCTTTGAATTTGGTCTTCGGAGAGAGGTAAGTGTCGTGGTTAACCTTGACTTGAGGGAATAGAACTTGTTTGTCTATTTGCTACATGTTTAAATGTTGGGGAACAACGTATATGTGAGGTGACGAGTACTTATGCGTTGTAGTCGGGTTAAAGCATGCGGGTGGGGCTTGGTTTCTTGCAATTATAGCTTCATTTGTTCATGTTATCCATGTTTAGACTAGTATTGTTAAATTGATCGTTCTTATCATGTTTACGGATCTTCTAGTGATGATTGAGTATTGATTCCGAAGTTGAGGTTGATATTGTGGAACTAAATGTTGAAGTAAGGCTTGTACTTGTTATTCTATCTCCCTGTTGTTATTTGTTTATTTCATTATGATAAGGGAGAGTGTTAATGCACGAAGGGTGATGCCGTGCCATATTGTGAGTGTTAATGCACGAAGGGTGATGTCGTGCCATGTTATGAGAGTTAATGCACGAAGGGTGATGCCATGCCGTTTCTACTGATTTTATGGTGAGGTTGAGAGTAAAAGCACGAAGGGTGATGCCGTGCATTTTTCCTTTACTGTGTTTACTTGTTCTTATTGGTTCATAGTATATTGGTTGTTCAAGTTACCATTTTGCTGTAGTTTTCTATCTCGTATTCCCCTCAGCATGTTCCCCATCCCAATAGTACATGTTTAGCTGTTATTTGTACATATACTGTTAAATTGCACAGGTTTGTTATGTAGGTATCTTGTCATAGCCCCGTCACTACTTCGTCGAGGTTAGGCTCGACACTTACCAGTACATGGGGTCGGTTGTACTGATATTGCACTATGCACTTCCTGTGCAGATTTTGCTATTGGTCCCAGCTGATCGAGAGGCGTAGCAGCTCGGACTAGTTCATCGGAGACTCAAGGTAGATCTGTTGGCGTTCGCAAACCTTGAAGTTCCCGTCTATCTTCTCAGTTCTTTTTTTTTTTACTGTTTCTTTCGTTGTATTTCTTTCAGACTTTTACTTGTAGTAAATCCTAGAAGTTCATGAACTGTGACTCCAGATCCGGGTGGTAGTAATAATTAAGTTTTTATATTATTCCGCACTCGTTGTATTTCATTTTAGCTTATTTGCTGTTATTTACTGAATTGAATAAGGATTGGCTTAATAATTCTCTAACGTCAGTTTGCCTAGCAAGTGGAATGTTAGGCGTCATCACGGTCCCGACGATGGGAATTCCGGGTCGTGATAGGATTCCCTTTTTCTTAAAAAGGCATAAAATTTTATTAAATGAACGAACGTATAGGGATACCTATGATCAGATATTTCCGTTCAGGGTGGGTTTGATTATAAATGAGGCGGATTCTTTTATCCAACCAGGATTAGCCACGTGTATTTTTTAGGTTGGGATGAAGGATCTAACAGGTGAGGGGTAACTATGGTCTAAAAGTATGACGGTAGGAGTAGTTATACTAAGAAACTGAAACGGAGGGTAGATGGAGCTTATTTTCGATAGTACAGGGACAAATATGACCCTTTTCCGTTATATTAATTTACCCATCTTCTGAAAATTTAACAAATATAAGACCATAAGAGTACACAGTTATTTTCCTAACATTTTACAATTAATAGGAAAGCAGTAGGTTATATGAACCAGTTGATTCACATATCAACAGCCAGGAAGTGAACAACTGCCTAGTGTAAATAGTGTTATTACGGCGAATTTTTTTTTTCTTTTTTCCAGTTAAGTTGTTATTAGGATAGGATTTAAGGAAGACAACACCGGTTTGAAAAGAAGAAAACAGGCAGCAAATCAAACAAAAGAGCAAAGCAACATCAGGAAGAAGAAAGGACAGTGGGAGAAAACTTGAACAGGAAAAATCAAATTTGAAGTACCGAGTCAATAATCGCCTGGCAGTAAATGGGGCTCATGTAATACAGCACATCATGCACTGTTGCACTCAACACCTCACGCAATCCTCGCACACCATCTAAAGTAATTTTTTCAACTGTGGTCTCACCACTAAGCTTTAAGCCCTTTCTCCACTGGTGGTACCCACAGTCGAAACATAAAAACAACTGGTGTTAGTTCACATTCACAAATCAACAGGAAACAGCAATGGACAGACTTATGCAGAAGAAAAACCCAAAATATCATATGACAGGAATGCAGAAGATAAACTTAAACATGCTAAGGGACAAGGGGGGGGAAAGGCATTCTTGTAATTAACAAGAAATGTTTAATCAAAGCTCAAAAGAATATAACAGGAAATCTTAGAGCTGCAGCAAAGGTGATAATCAGAAATAATTCTATTGAGCACCACTAAGCATAAACAACCTTGGTACCCTCGATTTGGCCTACGTCAGCCTTTTATAATCTCGAGGAGGACCCCCAACCAGAGGGCAGATCACAAATGGTCTCAGATCGCTAGGCCCGAATCACATGTCCAGTAGATGATTCTACTTACTAATTTGAGATGCTTCTAAGCTCTAATGCTCATCGTTATAATAAACATTTGTTACTTGCCTCATTAAATTCCTGCTATGCTCGACCCAAACAAACCATACTTCCGGCCCCGAGCTATTCCTCGTAAAGTCATAAGATTTAAAACCTGAGTTGTAATAAATGGTATCTTCTCCCATATTATGTTGAACTTAACTTTGGATTATGAAACCTAAAGATTCCGGCCAAGTTACTGAAATATCCTCATTGAAAGTTGACTAAAATGATATGAAAAGTTAAAAGGAACTAGCCTCGGGAAATGTGCCTTGGAGCATTTTGGAGGCTCTTCCAAGCAAATCGGGGATGCCTTCTATTGATTGAGATCTTCCGATAAAGTAATTTTATATAACAAAATATGGTTGAGATCTCTATAGTTGTAGTCCAAGGTAGCGTCAAAAACAATTTCTGAACTCTTTTCATCACAAGGACGAATGATTGTTTTCATAACAATATACCAAAATAAGAAATTTAATAGACCAACTATGAAAGCATTACCTGGCATGGGATAAAGAGGACTCTCTGAGTGCCACGTTGGTACGGGGTTAAATGTCGTTCAGCAAGGATTGACGTGATATGACGAAAGTCACTAACATCATCCACAAGATTTGATTTTTCCAACCTTTGACCAATACCATGAACCATGAACACCAGATGTCGAACAGGGACCTATACCAGCAGGATCCAGTTATAAAGGTTGTACTAAAAAGCTACCTTAGAACTTAAAAGGAGACCATTCTTTAAGGATGTCAAAAGTGGAAAAGATGAGAGTCTGGTATCTAAAATTAGACATCACGAACAAGTTTATGGATAACTTCTTTTAGGAAACATTAAAAATTGCGACTAACTTGATCAGCAAAGAAAAAGGAAAAACAAAAACAAAAATTAAGTTAGGGGAAAATTGATTAAACAAGTAATTACTAAATTCTAAAGAATATAGATAAAGACATATCATGCAGATAGAACCACCTCAATGATTTGGACAAGATTAGTTCGTCTTTTCTTCACATAGACTATCATCATTTTTAATCAAAAGATAATGTGAATTCATGCACAAAGATGAAGCGATAGGCAAAGGGCAAAGCTCAAGACCGTATACAGAGGTTGGACTAGCTAAATAAATGCAGAAACCTTTACTTCTAAAAAAAATTTTGCTTCTGTGGTCATTTTAGTATGTAGCATTCTCTCCCTAAAGGAAATAACTGATGCAAGAAATTGGCAGGACTGAAAAATTAAAATAGGTCATGCAGCTCTTATGTTGTAAGCACAGTATGCTGACCTGTCCCAGAGCTTGTTATGGTGTAGGATAAGATAGCGGTGTATGTTAGCGATGCAACATAGCATATATCAGCCAATTTAGACATTTTTCAGTGTGCTAAAGCTGTGATCATCTTCCAGATCAATACACAATTAGCTCTTAGATATTACTCTTAAGCTTTACGTTAGGACTGATTCCCTACTTTAGCTAGCATTTTCTCGAGCTTGCATAGTTCCTAAATGTATTTTTTCATTTGGTATCAGAGCTAGAGGTCCTTGGCTCAGTTGGTATTGATCGTAAATAGCGTCGGAGACAAAAGATCTAACGGATTTGTTACAAAAACTCTCTGCAGAATTTGCTTTTGAGGCAAAATCAGATGGAGCAAGCCTTTGTTGAGTTCAAAGGTAGTGAGCAAGACTAGATAGAGTTGAGGAGCCAGCTTTCCCTGGAATTTCAGGCAAGACTTGGTTCTCCAAGTGCGATGCCATGTGCACACAGAGAGCAAGATGACGTACAGCTCATGTTACCAGCAAGGTAACGCCATGTTGACTCGTTCTTCTAAGTTGGAATTCCCTCGTTTCAGTGGCTCGGATCTGAAAACGTGGCTTTACATAACACAAAAGCCATTTCATAAGCTCGCTTCAAAATACAACAGCTCTCAACAGATTTTGCAGAAGTTGGCCCTATAGCTTCTTCTTCTAGCATACTTGTGGATACACCCTACCTTCCATGTCTCTCAACCCAAACCTTGCCATTAAACTATGACTCAAAATAACTACCCTCCTATTATTAAGGAAAATGACATTGTATAGCCGTTATAAAACTAATAGCCGAAAAAATGTATCAAATTTGTATATTTTTTGTATATATATACATTTTGTATGTTATATACAAAAAATATACAAGTTTTATATACTTTTTCGGCTACCAAATGTAAATAGTTTCTGGCGCGGGCTAAAAGTGATAATACCCCTATTATTAACATCACTGGCCCACATTGCCCTCAACCCATTGCCATCCTTGATTGCCGGCTTGTCAAGAAGGGAACAAGGTTGTTCCACAACTCTTTGGTTCAATGGTAGTCAACAACACCAGAGCATGCAACAAGGCAGAACTTCCACTCTGTGTATGAAGTTTCTTATTCAAACTTTGAGGAAAAGGGTTGGTTTATGGGGGGAATATTGATGCTATAAATTGGCAGGACTTAGGAATTAAAACAGGTCATGCAATTTTATGTTGTAAGCACAGGCTGATGATGGGTCCACAGAGTTTGTTATGGTTTAGGATAAGATAGGAGTTAGTGGTGCAATATTTTCCAGTGCACTGCAGTTATGATCATCTTCCATATCAATACAGAAGTACTTGTTAGTTATCAATCTCAAGGTTTATGTTCAGATTGAATCCCTACTTTAGCTTAGTATTTTTCTCAAGCTTGCACAGTTCCTGGATTTGCCTTATCAATAACTTCATGACTTTGTTTGACCAAATCCCAGTGTTTGAAGCCAATAACTGATCTGATGTTAACAGAAAAAGAAAGGATCCTTAAATACTTTATAAAAACACTGCACAGTTCAATTGCAAATGAACATATAGTAAATAACATGAGTGGGTCAAACATAAGAGCCTAGCAAGGTAAAATATTCCAAGAAGTTTACACAAACTTAAAGATTAGTAAGGACAACCATAAAGGTAATTTCCAAACTTGTTATCTAATTGCTAACCGGCAAAGAAAAGCAATTTCAAAGGTCCTACAAAATAAATGTAGTAATAGCTCCTTATGTCCTTTTCTTTTTTGAAAAAGAATAATAGCTCCTTATGTCCTTTTCTTTTTTGAAAAAGAATAATAGCTCCTTATGTCCTGATTTTGTTATCCTTTTATATTTAAAAAAAGAATGTCCCAAAATATGCACACAACAGTCAAAAGAAACTGACCGTCTATTTATGCGGGTCAAGTACATAATACACTTGTTATTGTATTTCCTGACATGATTTCGAATAAGTTTACAGTTTAAAAGGCCAAACTATGGTTATTTCGTAATAATTTAAGAAAAAGTAGTGAGAGAAGACTTATTTACTGCACTCACAGCATAGTCTAATATAATAGAACGGAGTATTCATAGTTCACTGAGTGAGGTTAACATTTAAAATTAGTTATTTTCTTGATCTTGCAAACCGAAGTGACAGGTCGCAATTTAGTTTAGAGGGGCAAAACCTGCCAAACCATAAGAATCTTACCAATTTCCAAAGTACCAAGTACCATTAACTTAGTACTTTTGATGCCTTTCATATCTACCTTCTCAATCAAGAACAACTAATACAAGCCTACATGATAGGTTAATATTTTAAGGTCAAGACAGGTATTCCCTAGTTTATGTGCCATTTGCTTGATGAGTTATATAATTACAACACATACACTTATATAGTGAACAAGAAGCAATTGGACTACCTGTGAGCAGTAATCATCCATTTCTTCCTCCTTTTGTTGACGTAATTCGTCCTAAAAGAAACAGATGCGTGAGGTGTGCAATTTCAGCAGTGAGGAACAAGAGAAAATAGATTAAATCCTAAATATCAAGCCCCCTGTGCACCAAAGTCAGTGTGCACTCTTAACGATCTTAGCACAAAAGGCTCATAAACAACTTCTTATCAAGGATACCACTGAAGAACACATGAAAGCTACCTAAAAGGAAAAGCAAATCTCTTTTCGAGATAATAAAACTTTAGCATATGCATGTCATAGTGAAGGCTTTTTAGTATAATAATTGATCCAAAAGCAATATACAACAATAATCTCAATCCCAAGCTAGTTGTGGCATGCCACATAAATCCTCACTATCCAAAAGCTAAACACGGACGTAAACACACGACTGACCGGACTATTGTTCATGTATGTGTATAATTTCTTTAAAGCTTGTCAAACTTTCTCTAACTCACTTGAACCAGCAAATAATTATTCCTTCCTTAAAAACCTCTTAGCAACTAATTTAGTAGTACAAGCCAATGAAAGTCAAGAGAATGCTGTAAGTATATGTTAGAATGTTCAAGAATCACTCTATGCATATAGGTTAATACTATAGGATATTCTTCTGAATTGTTATGTATCTTTTATTTGATAAGGTGAAGTATTTGTATGCAATAACAGTACCAAGAAGATACCAAAAACAGCACAAAAATCTGGACTTGTTTAAACAAAATAAGGGAGCCCAACAAGTCCAGGGTATCTTTTATGCTAGTTACCAAAAATTCATTCAGCCAAAATACTAAAGTTTTAAATACATCTGTATTCCATATAAGTAGTAATAGGATCTTTTTCCCCCATCAAACAACTATTGTGATAATTAGGTACCCCGATATTTGAAAAAAATTCCTCATCTTTAATAGCTTAAACTTCTGTATAAAAAACCTCTTGTATGTTGTTAACAATCAACTCTATGCAAGTACTCTCTTTTATTCTCTTATACTTTAAAATAGTATTCTGAGAGAGACTTAAGCTGTTATGCCTACCCTGCCAAAAAACTCCCAATCGCTCCACAAATTTAGTAGTCTCACCTAAATTTTATGACCATTTGAGTGACACTACTCTTCTTACCAATGATGACTCTAGCATCCCCATCACTGTTCTGGTGTTCTCTAGCCACTACGCCGTCCTAAATTTATGGCAGCGTATTGCAAATATGTCTAGGGTTGATTTATCCATCAATGTCAGCTAACCTATCAAGTAACACCCAACAGCTAACTTGTCAAGACAAGTTAGTTGTCTGAACCCGTTAACCTGTTAAGTTGATTAATCCATATTTGTTTGGTCTGCGTAGTGCTGCCGTTCAACAACACACCATTGTCTAGTCAGTGTCACCTTTGACACATCAGCCATTCAGCGCCATGTCACTATCCATTTAATTGCTCTTAAAAGGACACTTCTATTACTTACTTTACGTCTATAACACACCCACTTATATCTGACCCTATTCTTTCTATTGAGCCAAGCAGCTCGTAATTTTTTGTCAATGGGGACAAATAAGAACTGAATTCAGAACCTCTATTTTGTTGGTACCACATTGAATTATGTGACCAACTCATCTAAAAACTTAAGCTATTAGAGAGAGTGTCAACCTTAAACAGAAAAAGAAAATATTCTCGCGTGCTTGGCCCAATAAAAAGAATCACGCACCATACGATGGGGCAGTATAGACATAAAATAAATCAATTAAAATTATCTATAATAGCTAAAACTTTCAGATGCACTGATCCCACAATTCAACAATGGCCACGCAACTATCCAATCAGTTGTCATATCATTGTCTAATCACAAGTGCCTCATCTTCAAACAGTAGCTCCTCTTGTCATACTCGACTCCACTTTTTAGTTTTGATTCGCAAACTCAAGTTGTTTAATTATCTCAAGTTTTAGAGGGAATATTAGAAGTCAATAAATCGAATCAATTACTCCCTCCGTTCCAGTTTATGTAACACTATTTCCTCTTCAGTCTGTTACTCTCTTCCAAAAAGAATGACCACTCTAAATTTGGAAATAATTTAACTTACACTTCCCTTTTACCCTTAATGACAAGCATTATAGCCAAACAAATATAATGTTATATTTAAAACCACAAGGTTCAAAATGTTATGGCATGTTTAAGTTCTTTTCTTTCTTAAACTCCATACCCAATCAAACAAGGGTCACTTAAAACGAAATGGTGATGTATATGTTAAAATGTTCTAGATTCGTTTCATCTGTTCAGGTTAATAATATCTAACATTCTTGTCAACCCTATCATAAGTAGAACTCTCAGTATTCAAATATTCTTTATTTAATTACCTTCTCTTTTACACAATTACAATATTATAATTTTCTTATTCCTATCATAAGTAGAAATCTCAAATTAAGTATGCCTTATTTAATTACTTTCTCCATTACATAATTTACAACATTATAAACTTTTCTTAGTCCTAAAGTGTAAACTCCTATGCAAGGAGCCCTTCTGTATGGCTTTCATAATTAATTCAATACAAGCTCTCTTTTATCATTTTCTCACAATCGACAGATAACAACAAGAAGACCCACAAAGGAGGATATTAGCATGACTTGCCTCCTCCTGCCAACTTAGCTTCTGCAATTTCCAAGCCAGTAGCTTTTTGCAATTTGAAAGCTGGTACAAGCTTCACGACACTTAATTGAATTTTCCAGCACAGTTGGAATATAGCATTTTATGAACCAAGTGATCAAGTCTACATGCATGCAGTCCCAACCCAAATTTTCCCAAATACAAGCTATTTTTCTTGAACTTTTTTATTTTTTACTTTGTTTTTTATTTTCCAGTTTTAACTGGAGGGAGAAGCAAAGGCATTTTCTCTCTTTCCTTTTATAGCATTTGTATCAAACAATTTTAAGTCTTTCACGCTACTCCTCCCCCACCGTGGCCACTTAAAAAAGAGAAGATGCAATGAGACTGAGCACCAGAAGATCATCAGTAACAAAGGAAACCAACATCAGTAAACTTGATATCAGAACAAAGAGAACCAACAGTAGTAAACTTGATAGTGTATAAATGAGTGCCTGTGTTGGTTTTGATGACTGAGGAGGAGCATATCCACGCCTTAACTTAACGCCATTCCCCCCAAATCCCATAGCACTAGAGAAACCAGACGCATCAGCATTTAGCCAGGCTTCCCAAGTATCATCTTCTCCAGTGAAAATAGCATGCAGTCCCTGCATTGTGGTAAGCAAGTGCATCACTAACAGTACGACTCAAAACACATATACAAAAGCTCCATAAATTCAGCAAACTCATACTGGGGTGAAGCCCTGCATATCGATCCGAGCTGCATAGAGCCCAGATGGCTGAAAGCTTCTTCTATGCCAAACCTGTGGCAGCCAGATAAAACTCATCAACTTGTATTGAGGGAAAATTTTAGATGCTCAACAAAAAATGAAAAGGAGCATAAAAGATTTAACACAAAAGAAAATGCACATCTTGGATTAGCAAACGAACAGATAACAAGGTACAATTTTCACATGCATTTTATTTTTGGCAGTAAGTAGTAGAAGTGCAACATCTGCCACATGCTGCCAGATATTCTCTAATGGAACATGTAGAAACAACGCACGATTAGAACAGTTACATATAAATCTTTGCAGTCAACATCAGATAAGCATACATCAGATGTGCCACTCTTAGTGATGCCGAATACCTTACTGCGATATGCAAACTCCAACTGTTCAGCAACATCTTCACGCAGTGGAAGCCAATCCAGACCCCCTTTACGAGCAAACCAGTGACCTCTTAAGACACGACGATTTTCTCCGGTCCAGTAAACAGGAAAACAATGTCTCTTTACCAAATCTACCTACAATGATGAGGATATCCATTATTCAGGAATTTATTTTCTTTTAAAGCAGGAAGAGGATCTGGGAGAGGAGAAGACTGCAAGACATCTTAGAGAACCATAACAACAAAAATTTTATTTTGTTATTATTGATAAAGCAATAGTTATATTGGCATCACGGGAAAGTCCCGCTATACAAGTGGTACACAAAAGAGCAGTGGACTGCAAAAAAGATATGATTCACTACAAATGATACTCGATCATCAAGACTAACAGGGACCTCATTATTGAACCAAAAATTCACTGATTCCAATCTCATCATCAAACAATCCAAGAATTCCTAATTCACGTAATAAGTTCCGACACAATGCAGTACCGATCTTGATCACCGTCACAAAGAGTTTCAAGACTTCATTCTGGAAAGTAATCTACTTAGCGCGAGAGAAGAAACAGAAGTGGATTTAACACAATAGAAGCAATAAGCTAATCATGCATGCACCCACAAACTGTTTTCTTTCCTCTCCTTTTTCTAATAAGACACCCACAAAGTTTTGGAAGGATATTGCTTTTCATGACAAGTTTTTAAAAATAAAAATAGAACTGTTGTCGAAATTTGTTGATTAACAATGTTAGATAATGTCAACTATTAATGTGTTAGAATGTTAAAGTTAGCTTAGCATAGTGTTACTGTCAAGCTAACTTAAAAGGAAAGTGTTGATGTTAAGCTAGTACTTGTAAGTAATATGAGATGTGGTTTGTATCCTTTAACTATAAATAGGTGTCTTGCACACTTCACTATCATCACATTATCTATTTATTCTTTTGATTCTCCCAGTTTAATAATATGGTATCAAAGCTTCGTCAATCCTGGTGGAGACATAAGAGGTTTCCCCTGTCCAGTCAAAGTTGCTCTGCACTTTTATGCTGTTATTATTCTCAACTTTTCTGAGTGACTGTTCTAGCTGAGCCACTCTTATTTCTAATAACCATTCCAACACCTTGCACATCTTCCTGGTATTAATTGGCGATATCTCTTAAATCGCCGCTTCATGCTACTATCCTATTCACTATTTATAGCAACTTCTTTAACAAAATTTTGATGGCTTAAAATTTCTTCAGAAAGATTTCCGCAACCAAAAATTTTATTAATAAGACTCCGACGATCGGAATTCAGAACTTTACAAGCGGTAAGCAAGAGAAGGAATGGACAAAGGATACCTCATAGAGGCCACCCTTAACGGGGACCCCAACTCTTTCTTCTTCAACTGAATACTCTTCACCCAATTGAGAGCTCTCCGAAGAAGATTTTTCTGATGCAGGACTGAGTAAATCTGATGCCCCCTTTGGGCCCTCACTGCACTCTGCATACTCTTTCCACCAACAAGAAAGTAACTCATCCTCTCTCTACAGAGTGCAAACCAATTAATGGCTCATATATCAACATAAGATATTTCAGACTCTAATGGACACAAAAGTCTTAACATTATGTGCTCTTTACTTCCTTTTTTGGGGGGAAGTACACGATGACCATTTTTAAACTTAAACTTTGCATAATCAGGCAGAGGTGAAGTAAATATGGAGCAATAAATATTTATCTCGACCAACAATTGATGAACTAACTGGGTCATAGATTAATTATTTTACAGATGAGTACTCTTAAGTCTTAATAAGCAAAACACCAGTCAGAAAACATTACCTGCAAGAATGAAGCTTCAACTGCAAGAGAATCTCTCATGCCAAATCTGAAGTAATCACCCTTCCCCACTATGTCTGCCTGAGGGACTGCTGCAGCTGGCTCTGTGCAAAAGTGAAATCCACAAAGGACAACCTAGATTTATACATGAATACGACAGCTCATGCTCATAGTAACTGACAAATCTATAATAATTAGACTTATAAGTTTAAAGAAGATCTGCGTCTTATTGCAGAATTTCTGACTCATGACTACACTTTATACCAGAAACTACAAACTGACTCATCAGGATTGATGTTTCTGATTGTATGATAGTGAACTAAAAAAAGTTTCTGATTGTATGATGAACTCCTTTGCAGAACATTGAATCTATGATTGAATTTCACTTACTGTTACAGCTGACTTACAGAATCTGCAGTGCTCTACTGAGAAAGTTTATGTATGTTTTTTAGTCCTGGCATCTTTTATTTTGATGCTGCAGAAATTGATTTCAAAAGGAGTGCAACATTTGGAGAAGAACAAATCTTCCGAACCAAAGAATCAACAGCAAAAGCATAAACAGAAGAAAAAACTAGCAAGTTGCTTTTCCAATTGATTGTTCATAAGGTAGTCTCAAAGCGGAATGATATCATGAGCCAAATATGTGGCCGTACTCCTTTGAGACAATGTATCAACGACCTTCTATTTCAATTCAATTATTCAATTACTCGACTATGCCTCAATCCAAAACTTGGCTACAACAATATGAATCCTGTACATCCATTCAGCTTTATTCAGGCCTATTTCATTTTAATAATCTGTTTTTAAGGTATTTTAGGGTCTATGGATTCTCTAAAGCAAGGGATTCTTTAAATTTCACACGATACATTGTCATACAAGTCTCCCACCAATCTAAAACGTCTCCTAACAAACATAAGACCAAACGTAAGCGTAACAACACAACTAAGCCGTAATTCCAGCTAGTGGTATTCCACTGTGTTCTATTTTCACCTTTTAACTAACTTAACCAAAAAAAGAGAATGTGTCCCACATCCTACATCCACTACAAGCACTTCAACACAGTAGCGGAGCCACATAAACACCCTTCGTCCGAAATTATATTGTGTATATAGAAAAATCTATATACTGCATATATAGATCAAATTTATTTTTTTACATATTAAATCTTGAACACCCTTAGCGAAATTACTGGTTTCGTCACTGCTTCAACCAGCAGAGAACCGAAAAGCAAGAAAATTCAATGAGATCAAACCAAAGCACTCAAACGACTATAAGAGGGATTTGCAAAGATGAATGCCAACATTTGGACCTAAGAGGTTTAGAGTTAGAGCAAAAACATACGATTTACAGCCAAAGGCAACTTGCAGAAATACCAACGAACATCACCACCATCTGAGGGACTTGTAGTCTGAGCAAGGTACTTTTGCCTACCCTCTAAGTGCTCAATTTCATCTGCTAACCTTCTAATATTCGACGGTGTGTTCTTCAACAAGTCAGGAGATGTTTCATCAACCACCCCACCTTTAGACCCAGAAACAGATGCCATCCTCAACCCTCCCAAAGTCCAAACACCTCTCTACGAGCCAACTATACCTTCAAAAGAAAATGAGTTTAAGTTCACAGTGTAAAAAAATATCTATACAATAAGGTCACTTAAAAAGTAATTAGCTTTATTTAACAACAACAAACCCAGTGTAATCCCACAATAGAGAATCCTACCGATAGAGAGGTTGTTTCCGGTAGACCCTCGACTCAAAAAAGATTAACAGACATGAACTCCAATAAATGAACACTTTGAAGAAATGTCAACGGATATGAACACCAAACAAAGTTATAAAACACCTAGTAGAACTTAATCAAAAGATACAAAACAGACAAAATAAAAAGTGAACCAAAAAGAAATGAAGCAAAAACACAAAGTGGATGTGTTCAAATTAGAAAATTAACAATAACCAACTTCTGGGCACTCAACAGAACAACCTGTAGATCAACACACACACACACACACACGAAAACTCAACGTGAGTATGATTGAAATGGACAATTAACAAGAAACAGAACACCTAGAAGGAATGTAACCAGATGTGAACACTCAACAGAACAACCTGTAGATCAACACACACACACACACGAAAACTCAACGTGAGTATGATTGAAATGGACAATTAACAAGAAACAGAACACCTAGAAGGAATGTAACCAGATGTGAACACTCAACAGAACAACTACAAGATCAATGAAAGTTCTAAAAATGATTTTTTTTTTAAAAGATCCAAAAAAAAAAAAAACTCAATTGGGTGTGATCAGAAATGGAAAATTACCAAACACCAGTTTCTGTATTGACAAAAAAACAGATATCAACTCCAAGAAATGTACTGACCTGAAACTGAAATTGGTCTAAATAAGACTGAAGTTAAAATAAGAAAATCTAATAGTGGCATGTAGAAGGTGATAATTAGAAGGAATGGATGATTAAATTACACTGATGCTATAACAAAATTATTACATTGTCAGTGCATATAACTTAACAGTATGCAGCATCGGTATTAGAAATCCTTGAGTTTTTCTTTATGTCTTGAAATCCTTTTTGCAATTCATTAAATAAAAGGCTCAACTGATTCACGGGCATGAATTAAATCATGCCCAAAATTGGGAAATGGTAATTTGTTGAATTGAAGATAGCATCTAGGCTTGGTAACGAAATTCACCTGAAATGGACGATGAAAGGGTTTTCTGGATTCTCTTCTATATTATTGTAACTCTGTTTTCTGTCAACTTTAGAATTTAAATGAGGAAATTGAGTCGTGTGGAAGAAGGAGAAAATGGAATTGTATTGGAAAGAAAAAGAACGGTAGGTGGAAAGGCAAGAAATAGCGAGAAGAGAATTAGTTAGAAGGAATATTCTGCTAAACCCCATAAGAGAATTAAAAATGAAAAAAACTAAATACCGCTAATCTCATTCTAAATTAAATAAATTACATTATTGAAAGTTAATGTGCTGATGGATGATAATACGACGACAAAAAAATATATAGTTGGATGAAAATATAGTGACCAAAGATGAAACAAAACTGCCTTTGATTTCAAAAATATGTATTTTCCTTTATAAAATAGTATTTTGTGTTTACTAATATATCAAATTACAATTGTATTAATTGCTGATTAAATGAAAACATTGCCTTTAATCATTCATTAAAATAAATTGAGAATAATAAACTATTGTTATATAATTTATTTCTAGTTCTTTATCCAATACTATTAGTCTAGCCCAAAAAAAAAACTATCAGCCAAAATTTACTCGGACTTTTTATGTGCAAATTCGTGTATATCATATGAATAGATAGTGAGTTAATACTCAAACATCCTAAAATTTTAAGGTACTTTAAGCATTAAATATAAATTCCACCTTAAATATAAATCTTGGGTTCTAATTTCTCAAAATAATTTTTACTCGTATTTTAAATTATTCTCTAATCTCAATATTTCATCTTACACTTCAAGTATTAACATCACACTACAAATAGTAACAAAATGAATAAAGAAAACTCAAGAATACCGTGTGGTTGTTGGATGCTAGACCTTTTGAATCCTTTGGCGCCTAATTAGACACAACTTATTTCCTCCCACAAATTCGTCTTGAAATGGGAGTGAAAGATAGCAAAGGAAGAGATTTAACAGTTTAGTATTGCACAATATATTCTAGGGAATATTTAATAAGTTTGTTGTGATTTGTGAAATATATTTTGAAATATTATTGGTTCCCTAAGTTACATACTTTGACGGGAAAAGGTCTGAATAGGTTCCTCTACTATGGTATATCGTTTAAATTTGTCCCCCGTTATATTTTTCATCCTTAAGTATCTTTACCGTTAACAAACTATTCAAAATTGCCCGAGCACCAACGTCGCAGGTCCCACTAAAAACTTGACATGTTCTACACAATTGACCAATCCTATATAAGACCCATGCCATAAATATAGTCTACCAGAAATGATTTGAGAAAGAGGTTCATTTTTCTGCACCACATGCTACAAAGCTCACATATTAGATAAGTAGCAAGCTCCCTCGCAGCCATCAAATGACCAACAAATTTTTCTCCTAAACAAAGAACCGACCAAATCTATACACCGAGATACATGGAATCACAAGCACAAAACTATACAAAATACTTACACAAAATTAGAGGGAAAAGACAAGAAGTCATAACCATTAAAGTAGATCGAAAAACCACAATGACAAAACAAAAACGCAAAAATCCAGTTGATAAAATAGCGAGTCCGGAACCAAAAAATATATTTTTTTGGACTCAAAGAATCAAAATGTGTAAAAAAAAAAGAAACATAGAGACCAAAATATATATAGCGCTCTTTTAAAGGGCGATATACCTTAACAGTTGTTTGCCCGTTAAGGCATAGCGCCCTTTTAAAAGGCGCTATATATATAACGCAATTCCTTACCGCACTATATATATTATGTGGGCCCACCAATAATTCTTCTGTGCTTAACTGACATAATAATAATTCAACTGGGTATAGCACCCTTATTTAAAGCGCTATACCTAAAAATATTATAACCCCGGATTGGTTTTTGCCTTATTTAAAGATGTTAAGGATTTTCTAAAAATCCATTCACAAATATTCTCAAGTTTTCTGAAATATTTTTTCTTTAAGCTGTTTTGCATTTTGTCATAATGTCTGAAAAGCGAAGAATAAGGGTTTTATTATATTGGTGGTGGTGGGAGGGGAGGGATGAGGTTGTGGTGGCGAATAACTCAGTAACCTATAGTTTATCTCCACAATGTCATGTTAAGTTGTCACTTGCAATGGAGTACGATACATTGGTATCGTTGTTATGTAAAAAAAATGAGTGTGAGCAAATGTTCGGTGAACCTTAAAGTAACCGGAAGATATCTGTATTCTGTCACTCCGCAAGAGGTTGCTTGTTATGCTGAGTTTAACATCGAGGATGATGAAACTCTGAAAGATTTTTTGAGGACTTCGGATGAATACCGGAAAATTCTTGTGATAAAAATATTGGAAATGTATGTCAAGGTTGAAGACGTTCGCAATAATGAGGTTGCGCAAAGCATGGATATCCCTCAGTCATCGAGTGGTTATTTTGGAGCAGTTTTAGCCGAACAGATTCTGACTGAAAGAGTTTGGCATGATCTAAACTTATCTCCGCAGGTGAATGAGGAGCGAGAAAATAATTTATCTCCTAGTTTACATAATCCACAAGACGAGTGGTAAATTTTAATTTTCCTTTGTGTTACGATATTTATTTTTGTTATATTGAATTTGTATTACACTACTAAAAACATCAAATTTGCTACCATCAAAGCAGTCGCAAATCGGTCAGAAATCATATTTTTTCGACCGATTTGCGACGGAAAAGTGTGAGCCAAAAAACACGTGGTCGCAATATATTTGCAACAGAATCAGTCGAAAATTTGCGACGGATTACGTCGCAAACTGAAAAATGCGGGGACATTTGAAATTTAAGACATTTGCGACCGAATCAGTCGCTAAATTAGCGACTGATTCGGTCGCTAACCAGAGTTTAAAAAATTAATTTAAATAAAAAGTTTCGATTGATTTCGTCGGAAAATTTAAAATAAAATAATATTTTAATTAATTATTCAGACTGTAACAGTAATAAATATTGATTAATAGTTAATTAAAAATACCGAAAATTCTCCATTTGCGACTGATTCAGTCGTAAATTTTAATTAACATTTTCCATTTGCGACTGAATCAATCGCAAATTTAGGTAATTCCTAGTGAATAATCCATGTATTTTTTTAAGCAGAATCGTATTGTATTTCTAATTACACCACCTGCCAATAAAACAACCAACCAAATATCTAACAATTAATCAAAAACTTAATATAGCAATCCAAAAACATAATATAACAATCCAAAATACAATATTTACTACAAAACGAACAATAATATTTAACAATTCAACCGACTAGTCAAACAACCAACTATCAAACAACATAAATTAAACATATCTCTAACTTCAACTCTAAAATATTCAAATAGCCTATTGAGAATTAGTCTCCTCCTTAGACTCCATTCCAGCTCCTTTCTTGTTTTTTTTTTAAAACAATATTTTGACCAAAGCCTGAGTTGCTTGAAATTCTTGCGACATTTGATCTACTTTTTGACGCATAGCTTCCATGTCTCCTTGGGAAACTGATGCCCCCAATGAATAATGTTGTTGGTGGACGACTGAAGGATGGATGTACTCTAATCCCGTAGACTCGACCTTTATTTATTATTTTCACGAGAAATAAAGAAAATAAAGTAAAAGAAGTAAGAAAACAAATAAGCAACTTTCAAATTAATACCAAAATAGATAATTACATAATATTTATACCTTAAAAACATTTAACATAGCAAATATAAACATAAAGTATACATAATAAATATAACAATATAAACATAAAATACTTAATTTGTGTTCTTAATTGATTGCCTTTTCTCAATTCATACTTAATTGATTGCATTTTCTTCATTTCTTTCCAATAATAAATAATATAATTAACACATAGATAGGGCATGAAAAATTTTCAAATGAAAAAATGAAACAGAGAAGTATTAGCACTTAAGTTGTGTTCTTTAGTTATTTTTTTATATAAACAAGAATTTCATACATATAGAACATACCCAAATTATTTTAAATTTTTTCTTGATTTATTATTGGAAACATACAAATATACTAGCCATTTTTATAAGAACATCTAACTAAAAAGAAAAAATAACTAATTAATCTAAACAAATAAATTTTTAACAAGTCACTATATACATATTATATTGAAAAAATTATTGATAATTTATCTATACTATATTGAAAATTATATAGCTAATTAATACATACTATTTTCCAAAATTAATGCAAAAGAAATACCTGAAAAAACGACCAACGGATCTGCTGCCAAACCAACACCGGAGGGGAGATGAGCCGCCGGATTTCTAAACCAAAAATGAGTTAAACAACTTGGGAACAAAAAAAATGGGG